ATATTGTATTTTCATTTTTATTTGTCTCAGGGTATTTATTTTTTATTTTTTTATTGATTTCAGAGAGAGGAAGGGAGAGAGATAGAAACATCGAATAGAAATGTTTTGATTGGCTGCCTCCTGCACGCCCCGTACTGGGGCCTGAAAGCCGGGTATGTGCTCTGACGGGGACTTGAACCAGCAACGTCCTGGTACATGGGATGATGCTCCATCAACTGAACCACACGATCCAGGCAGAGTACTTTTTGATTTCTCTCTCTAAGTTCCCTGGCCCATTGATTGTTTGGTAGCATGTTGCTTAATTTCCACAGATTTGTGAGTTTTTGTTTTATAGTTGATTTCTAGTTTCATACCATTGTGGTCAGGAAAGATGCTACGATTTCTTAAATTTATTGCCTTGTTTTGTGGCCTCACATGACTTATCCTGGAGAATGTCCATGTGCTCGGGAAGAATGCACACGCTGTTGATGGGATGGAACGTCCTGTGCAGGCAGGCAGACCTCCTAGATACTGCAGGTCAGTCCCAGACCCCCAAGGAGAGAGAGTGGGAGCTTTCTGCTGGTGGAAGGTCTTCCCCTCGGTTTGTAAAAATGCAACATCTGCGAAGCCCCGTAAAGTGAAGGAAACACAATAAAACGAGGTGTACCTCTCTCTGTCTGATGTCCTTCCGGTCTAAACATTTAGAGCTCATGTTTCCTTACTGATGTTTCATCCGGATGATCCATTCTTTTGTGGAAGTGGGCTATTAAGGTGCAATACTGTTATTTTATTGTTATTTCTCCCTGTAGGTCTGTTCTCTAAAGATTAGGGCAGAGGATCCCTGATGATGTTACATTCTTCTTAGAACTCCCTACATTTCACTATAATGCCAATCACAGGTCAGAACTGCCCAGATGTTCAGTGGAAATGTGATGTGTGATAATGATGTATGTAAGAATCACTATTACCCCTGCTCATAAAAGGATGTCTTTCACTTAACACTAATAGGCAAATGTGAATGCCATGTGGCTGTTACAGCCAATCTATACTAATAAAAGAGTAATATGCTAATTAGACTGGACGTTTTCCAGACATCCTTCTGGATAAAACTACGGTGGTGGGGGCTGAGGCAGGGGTAGTTAGGGGCAACCAGGCCGGCAGGGGAGAACAGGCTGGCAGGGGAAAGTAGTTAGCGGTGACCAGGCAGGCAGGAGAGTGGTTAGGGGTGATCAGGCAGGCAGGCAGGCAGGGGAGCAGTTAGGAGCCAGCGATTCCGGATTGTGAGAGGGATGTCCAACGGCCGGTTTAGGCAGGGATTGGGTTAGGGTTAAGGTAGGAGAGGGCACAGGCTGGACTGAGGGAACCCCCTGCCCCAGCCCCTGTGCATGAATTTCATGCTCTGGGCCTCTAGTCCTATAGAATAAAAGGCTAATATGCAAATAGACTGTATGGTGGAACAACTGAACATGTCTCTGTGACATGCACTGACCAGCAAGCAGAGTGTGAGCAGAACATGGTGGGTGTGGGCATGGACATCGGCTGCAGTGGGGATGGTGGGGAAGATGGGCAGGACTGCCAGACCAAGGCCAGTCACTGCCATCAGGGTGAGCCTCTGGTGGTTACTGAAAATTCTTTGTTCCTGCCCAGAATTCCCACCTGCTGCTGGTGCTGGCCCCACTCGTACCCACTGCCAGCACTGGATCTGCTACTCGCACCTGCTGTCAATGCCTGGCACTGGTCCCAATAGCTCAGTGCCATCACTGAGTGCGAGTGGCAGCTGCCAGCCCTGATTGCCCCTGAGGGCTTCTCCACCTCCCCCTGCTCCTGAGGGGCGACTGGGGCAGCAGCCACTGCTCACACCCGCTGAAGGCACTAGCCCCTCGCGCCTGCTGCTGGTGCTGGCCCCAATTGCTCTGTGGTGTCAGTGGGTACAAGCAGGGCTGACAGGACCAGGGGCCGTGGCAGAAGGGGCTGGATGGGGGTGCAGAGGATGGGCTGGGTGGGGGTGCAGAGGATGTGCCCACTGCAGCCCACAGTTCCTTTCAAGGTGCACAAATTTGTGCACTGGGCTCCTAGTCAAGTTATAAATATGCTTGAAGAGTTCCACAAGAACTTAGCCTCTTGAGGACAAAAATATACAGTCGGGAGAAGAGTTTTGGGTGTCCTGCTTCCAACGTGCATTTAAAAAAACCTTCTTACTCTTTGAATGGACTTACCAATATGCTAATCAGCCCTGGGGTTGTAAATTCTAAAACATTTTGATAAGATGAATAGCGTTGGAACCCTGAACGTAATTCATCCAGAGGCCTCCTACTTGAGCTCATCAAGTAAGCAGAAACATTTGGATACATATAGGTTTTCCCCACTTAGAAACATCTGAAATCTCAATTCAGTGAAGGAGACTTACTCAGTGTAACTAATTAGGGTTAAACACTAACAGGAAATGTAAAGAAGGGGAAATCTTTGATTTCTCAGTGATTTCTCTAAAACTATGGGTAGAACTTTGGGAAGACAGACTTTCCATTCGGGCAGAGCATCTGCAGCATGTGGGTCTGCGGCGATCACCAAGAGGTGCGGGGTCCCCCCTGCTTACTGTGGTGGGAATGAATGAAACCTCTGCCGCCTCATTGAAAGGTCCTGATTTAAGACACCTCCCATTAGACATAGGAAGTTGCGTATGAAAGACTCAGGCTCCTTACTGAGGAAGAGCCTCCGCGAGGGACTGTTTGTTCATTTCAGGGAGTGTCACCTGACAGTCCAGGAGTGCTCACCGATGATGATGATGATGACGACGACGACGCAGCTGTGATCTGTATCTGCATGTCCTGAGGGGATGGGCCACACACACATCCGTCAATTTAAATCAACCAGAGGGAAAGGGGCCGGGCAGGCAGAGGAGCAAAGGGGAGATAAATGGCGATGGGAGGAGACTTGACTTTGGTGGTGAACACACAATGTAATATGCAGATGATGTGTTATAGAATTGTACACCTGAAACCTATATAACTATGAACCAGTATCACCCAATAAATTGACTAAAAAACTTAAGGATGCAGTTCCTATTAAACAAACAAAAAATACACCACGTGTCCTTGTGCACAGACCTGATAAGCAGTCACCTATCCGGACAGTGCTCAGGGTGTTACCTGAACATGTGCTTACTGTGTGCTCTGATCAGGCCTGGCTTCTGCTCCAGGCAAACTGCTCGTTCTGATAAGTGCCTACTCTAGGCAATCACAGCTGTTCCTTTTAGGAAAAGGACAAGGTGATTACATTCTGATGAAGCAAATTTCTTGACAAATTTCTTTACTGAATTTCCCCTTTCAAAGGACTTTGTTCAAAAAGAACTTCAGCCAAGAGCATGCAGAAATTCATTCGGTCCACCTAACCCAGAGACAGAGACATGGGGTCAGATTTCTCTATTTCCAAGCTCTGCCTTCCTGCATAGTGACTTTCAGTGCTCTCCGTTTTAAAGAAAATTAGTTACAGAAAACGAATCTCTGAACTCGATTCACCTGTGTGTCTGATGTTGGCTGGTGCAATGACATTATTCGTAGGGGGCTGTGGCTAAGAAGGCAGCTGGGACAGACTATCTCCCCCTGAACAACCAGCTTTCTGAACACAAACATGAAAACATACTGCTAACCCCCTACTGTAGCCGAAGGGCGAAAATATGTTAAACTCCACAGTGCTGCAGCTCCCATGCTCTTTGAGGTAGTCTTGAAAGTGTCAAGGATTGAGATGGTAAAAATGGAAATGTTTGTACTTTTTTACTTTTAAAGCAGGACAGAATTGTAGTTCTGAAAGGGTGCTCACTTGGTTGACAGGGAAACAGACTTGGAGGGCCATTTGTTCAGAGCCGCACGGGCAGCCACTGGGAGGTGAGGCTCACGCCCCGGTTCCTGCAGCCCGCCTTCCCCTGCTGGCAGGTGGCTGCGGGGACTCATCACAGGCAGCCTGTCTGCTCAGCTACGTGCCAACACCATGCACATCCTAATGACAAAGCAAGTGTTTGGAAAGCCACTCTTTCCACTAGCCTTTTGTCTTCTCCTGGTTCTAGAAGGAACTCCTGCCTGTGTCCCCAGCTCCAGTGGGGAAAATAGTCTATATTTCCGTCACCGTATGCAAGAAGAAAAGTGAATCCAATGAATGGGTGTCCTAATTCTAAGCAGTTTTATGTTATTATTTTAGGAACTCAATATAAAGCGTTCAGTAGTAAACAAGAGAGAGGATTACTCAGTGTTACACAAGTGGCATCACGCATTTCCCCAAATATTTTTAATCGTGGGGAAAAAGCAAGCTATTGATATTTTTAATTTCTAAAAGCAAAATTTAATAAATTAATAAATGCATGCCAGATAAAAACACAAAATTACAACTAAAACCCAATAACTTAACAGAAAACGCTCTGAGTTGTATTTTTTTATTGGCATGGGTCATTTACTAAAGTAACTAATCTGAAAACATTTTGCTTTTTTGCTGGAAAGAGAGCACTATGTCTGAGAAGAACGAAGAGAACCCAGAAATAAAGCATTGGCGAAAAGAAGGCATATGCTATAGTCTATGGCAGTGCACGAAGCGGACGGCAGTGCTGTTCTGTCCATTGATGTGCATGTTTATGAAAGCGTCAGACACCAACGACAGAACCCAAGCGAAGTCATGACAGGTTCACTCTGCGAAACATGCTGAATTACAACCACAGACTACCCGGGACGGAGAGCGGGGCAGGCTGCCGTCTCCTTTGAATGGGTCCCCTTGCCAAACGGGACTAATCATGCAATAGCCTGAGCTTCTCTTAACGTGATAAACATCCAGGGTTACTGGAACGGGAAAGCGTATGGTCACTGCTTGACAAGGACAGCTGAGCGGTGCTACAAGAACAATGGAAAGCTCCTTCATTTTAAACTGGTTATATGCCCAGCCTTAGATCTGAGGAATAATGCAGCCGTGAGAGCCAATTAAATTACTATAAAACATTCCTTCATCTGTAAAACACTTCTTTTCCCCCTCAGACTAAACATCTAAAATAAAATGTCTTCATTCTTGATGAGCAGCTCTACCACCAGTCTCTGATATCGGATATCGTTCAGTGCAGCCATGGCGTCGAGCTCCGGGGACCTCATGAGGGTGGGGCCGAAAACGATCCCCAGGTTTTCTGCATTCATGAGGTTCTCCTTCTCATGGAGGGTCACTCTGAAAATACAAGCAGAGGAGGAGGGTTTTGTGTAAGCCACGCGGTTCTTCACTGTGCTTTGGAACAAAACCAAAAACAAGGTGTGTGTGGGTTCGGTTCTATTTGTGGATTCTCTGGCTACAGCCTGAGCTGCAGGGATGTCTGAAAGTGCAGAGAAGGAACTGGGTCGTCCTGATGGTTCCCTCAGCCCGCCCTCCCTCCCTCCCACCCTCCCTCCCTCCCTCCTTCCTCTTTGGCTATCGGGTTTCCTGTAGATTATTTTTGCAAGTGCCTAGGGAGAAAGTGGTCGTGGCATTGATAGGAGATGGCTCGGCATAAGCAACCTTGTCAGAAAGAGTGTGTGTTTATATTTTTTACTGCTGCACTGAAGGCACAGAGACTACAATTTGAGAGTTATTTCTTCTGTATGGAGTACTTAACTGCATCCATATATGAAGCAAACTTGAATTTACAAGTGAAGTTGTAAGCAAATGACATTAAAGTTTTAACTCATGGCGCTTTTAAAGAGGAGAAACGTGTAAATATTAAAAGCAGCATGAATTAAGTATTCGTTTCGGGATAACTCAATGCCTAAAGGCATACAACATAGATGTCAAGTTCTGCTATCTTTCTTGTTGCTGACTGGTCTTATATTTCAAAACCCTAAAACCACTAAATCCTGGTCATATAATTTTAAAAACATTGCTATAACTGGTAGAGTTTGACGGTGACTGAGCAAGGAAATAAAGCTCCATCATCATCAATCACTGTAACACGTTAAACCAGAGTAACAAAATATTTCATTTTCCATTCCTCCTTTACCCCTTACTTTACTCCATCGTTTGTTGTTTTTTTTACAGCAATATTTAGTGCTGACAGCATCAATCCAATAATCTACAATCCCAGCACCAAGTCTGAAGTGCCTGATTGAGAGAAAGAAGAATGAACCTTCTAGTGGATTGTTTTGCTCTTTATTATGCTAATGCTAGTGTCTCTACAGCCACAACCTTTCCCTTTCCATAGAAATGAATGCATGTCCTTGGCAGGATACTAGTATTTCTAACATATTTGCCAACACCTAGTGCAACTGTAAATACATTCCTGTTAGAATCAAGTGTGTGTTCAGCTTTGTAGCGCAGAATACTTTTAGCATTCCTTCTTAACTTGTGCAATTCCACACAAGACAACAGAGCTTGTGTTTATTTATTCAATGGACCATGTGTCCTTTCTTGCACATTTGATTTCATTTCATTCTTAAAATCTGGATGCAGCACAGGTGAAGCACTGCCGTCTGACTTGCCTCTTCAGATGCGCCATGAGGTACCGGAGGGTCTCGCAATGAGCGGGCGGCAGCAGTTTCAGCGCCTCATGAAGGGTCTCTAATTGCTCATCAGGATCCATAATTTCTAAAGGAGCGAGTTGAATGAATACAAAGGAGGAAAACGTTAAAGACTACTGGTATAAGTGGTTCATTTCTTTCTTTTCTGTTTTAAAACTGGTAAGAAATGCTTTCTCACAGTTTCTTGCCCGCAGCCTTGGAAAGTATTTTTAAGGTTCAAGCCTCAGATTTCCACAGGCTTAGTTTCAATGTGACAATACCATTTACTTGGACTTTTGGGGAGACCACCCAGTTTTTTCACTTGAAAGTCTTGAATCTGGTAACTATGAACACTGGCCATTGGATATATAGGATGTAAATATGGAAAATTCAGACATATATCTACATACAAATAATAACTTACCCACCCAAGTGAGGTCATTTTAGAGCATTACAAACATATCTAAGGAATGCTGCATTGTTCAAAAGATTTTTAAAATCCCTTCAGAAAGCAACAGTACAGAAGCTATGCCACCCCATTTGCCCCTGCAGCCCCTGTTAATATTTAAGTTCTTTCTTTTTCAACCAAGAAATACATCATCTAATATTTACTTCTTTTATTGTTTAGATTTACTTTTAAATGACTGTGTGTTATCTAAGAGAGTTAAATCTGTCATCTAAACACAAAGATACTCTACTACTTAGGATATTCAGGACACACATGCAGGCTCTGAAGGCAATACCAAATGTTCTGAGTGACAACAGGGTTCATCAAATAAATGGGACTCTTTCAAAGGTCTAAACTTTGAAGGGGCACATCTTCATGTGCATATTTTAGTTCTGCCGTGTTGGCCAAAAAAACAGCATACTCCTTTGAGGTTACAGATCGCATTAAAATAATTATTTCCGGAATCAGAAACAAGAGATATCTTTGGAATTCTGTGCTCTAATTTAGCACATTTCCTGCATCTACCCAAATGTCATGAAGATGGGGCGCCCTTAAATGTTTGGTTTCAGGGCAATTGCAAAGGGACACAAAGCAGAGCACAGCTGTGAGATGCTGGAAGGCCACATCCAATCAGAACCTGACATTCAGGACACAGGAATCCCAGGCTTTCAGATTTAATAAAATAAAGCAACTCAGAGGCAATATGCTGGAATGACATGAAAGGTTCTTAGTGTTGGCAGAGCAGATTTGATAAATTTCAGAATATAAACAATGACTGAAGCTTTTTAATTCAAAGAACTTTGGCCGTTTTGCAATTTCTGCCCAAAGCTTCCCCAGAGCTTCTGGTTCGTTTCTTGGGGATGAAGGATGTATGATTTGACATTTACCGGGATAAATAATGCTCGGTCTGTGAACCATGAGGCCTAATAACAGTGCCACTTAATAACAGCAATTCCAGTTACTGAAATTCAATAATTTAATTTTAAAATTAAGAGAAGAAATTCCATTTACTATAGAAACCTTGATAGAACTAAGTAATTGGAAACTACACTATCATAAAAATTGAAAAAGAAGTAGTTTAGTTTTCCTTTAATTTCCACACTTAGTTTATACAGGGAGAATCTTGAGATGGTGTGAGGTTAAGGGCAGCATTGGTGGGATGGAAACAAACAAAATTCCCTGTTCATGGAGAGCTCACTTTCCCTGCTGGAGGGTGACTAACAACAAATAAGCATATCTATCTGTTAGCTTACACTGTATAGGAGGAGGCAAGCACTTGGAAAAGACATTGGATGTGCCCGGGGGGTGGGGGTGGGGGTATGTAATCACACATGGTGTGGTCAGGATGGACCCGAGGCAGTGGGGGGATGAAGCACATAGAGATAGATCTGGGGAAGGTGGTTCCAGGCAGAGGAACAGTCAAGCAAAGATCCTGAGGGAGAGAAGGCTGGTAATGTTAGAGGAAAAGCGAGGAGCCAAGTGTGGCCATAGTAGAGTGAGCAAAAAGGGTAAGAGAGGATGAGACTTGAAAGGTTAGAATTTACTGAGAGAAATGGGAAATTCAAGACTTGACATACGTTTTTCATAGTATCTCCCTCTAGCTGCCACATGGGAAACAGATAATGGGAGGGACAAGAGTAAAAGCAGAAAGGTCATTCCAGTAATAAATGCAAATATCCAGGTGAGGTGTGACACTGGCTTAGACCAGGTGGTAGCAGGGAAGGCTGTAAGAAATTGCTGGATTCTAGGAATATTTTAAAGGTCGAGTCCATAGGAGTAGTAATTGATGAGGATGTATGAGAAAGAAAAGCAAGAATGAGCCACGTTTGGAGCATAGGTAACGGGGAGGATGGACCCACCATCAACTGAGACAGGAAAGAGCTGGTGGAGGAGGCTTCGTGGGAAAGAGGAAGACATCTGCAAATGATCATGCTGACTTGGATTAACCTGTTGTCCAGAGAGGTCCAGATTGGAGCTAAAAACCTGGGAACATGTGACAAAATGCACTTGAAGACACTGATTTCAAGTTGACAGAGACTTGCTCTGGAATTCACTTCTCTTTTCCACTATGAGGAGTGTTACCCATGATCAGTTTTTCAGAGAACACAAACCTTTAAGAAGATCACAGCGTAATTTAAGAGGGAGATAGACCAATGAAATGCATTCAGAGGTCATAACCACCATTCCTGCTTTGAATCCATGGAAGGCTTGCACATGGATGAGGGTGCTACCAGGACCACGGCCAAGGGGAGGGAGCTAGAAGCGGGCAGATCTCTGTTGGATCTAAGATTGTGGAATCTGTCACCAGCGGACTGGCTGCCTGGACAGATGATTCTGGGATTACTGGGTATTTAAAAAAGAAAGTCTAGTTGCATGACTTCTTAAAGTATTTAAAAACTAAGGTTCTATGGTTCTCAATTATGAAATTATGTTTACTCATTGAACAAATATTCATGGAGCATCTATTATGTCAGCAAGAAGCTACACAAGTGCTTGGGAAAATGAACATGAGCAAGAGAACTGCCTGGAAGGGGCTGCAGTCAGGAGGGAGGACAGGAATGAGCATAACCTCTGACCGGAGGAAAGCTACTCTGACGGGCGTCCAAGCGAGCCTGACATGGACACAGAGGGGAAAGGTGGCTGAGGCAGGGGGACAGGAGAGAGAGAGATGGCATTTGAGGGAGGTCTGGAAGGATCTGGAAATACACCCTGGGGGGAGAGACGGGACAGGAAATAAGCACTCTGAACCTGAACCAAGATGTGGCTAAAAGCTCTTTTTAAATGTTACTTTCTTTAGAGAGAAACTCAAGTACAAGAATAAAGGTAGCCGAGCAGAAGCGGGGATCTGGGCAGAGCGGAGGGAGAAGCTCCACGGGCTCTGACTCCCAGGCTCCTCTCTGGGGCGTTCTCGTTGCTCGGAACAAAAACCCTGGGTTTCATTCCTGAGTTCATCCGAGTCACTCCCGGTCACACACGGAGTCATGCGGCTTCTCAGGATCTGGGATCACGGCTCTCGGAACGCTGGGCCAGGGGAAGCGTTCCAGGTCCGGCTCCGCCAGGCTCAGCTGTGGCCGAGCGGTGCCCGCGGCCGGGAGGCATGTGTGGAAGCCGGGCTGAGGAGCAGCCCTGGGGCAGCACCTCTGGCCCAGGCCTTCCTGCTGAACTGCAGGGATTTCTTAATTGGTGGGGAAGGAAGTGAGCAAAAACGCGCTGGGGAGACCAAGACTTCCAGGTGGCTCAGAGGGAACACGCAGGGGACTTAGCCGAACGTCCAGCCTTTCGGTGGGATGCCTGGCCTCCTCTACCGCCTTTGCCGTTTCCTGCAGCCTCTGCCCTCCAGCTTTCAACCAGCAGTTCTCCAAAGGAGGCTGCAATAGCAGAGCTCAAACAGAGGCTTTAATATGAACTATGACTTTTTGTTGGTTAGGGATGCTACTAAATGCCAGAGATACCCGAGACCTAAAGAATATGGCCCAAGGATTTTTAGGGGCTAGAGAGAGAAAAAAAAAAAAAGTCCAAGAGCACGTGCATCAGGAAAGGTCGGCTAACCGTGTCCTTCTTTCAGAAGGGGCTCCTGTCCTCTGCCTGCCTCCCCCCCATGCAAGGCTCTGCCCCCTGTTCTATCAGGCGACCCTGGCAGCACGCAGACCGGAGAGAGCTGGGGCTCTGATGTTAGAGAGATGTGGGTTTGAACACCGTTGCCACCTCTCCCAGTGAAAGGACTTGGACAGTTTACTTATAACTAAAAACATCTTCTTTATAAAATAATATCATGGGCCATGACTGGGTAGCTCAGTGGGTTAGAGTGTCATCCCAAATACAACAAGGGTGAGAGTTTGATGCCCAGACAGGGCACAAAAGAGTCAACCAATGAATGCATGAATAAGTGGAACAACAAATCCATGTTTCTCTCTTTCTCCCCTTCTATTTCTAAAACCAATTAAAAATAAAATATCATGGATGTAAAGTATTGAGCATGATTCCTGGCACTTAGTACTGCTCTATAAATCTTAGTTTTTCTTATCTTCCATATCTGCCTATACAGATAGGGGAACGGCTGTATCTATGCATCTAAAGAAGGACACGTCTACTAAAAAAGACAAATACAAGGACACAATGTTCCACAAACAATTATATCAACATCGAACATGCACAATACACATTTATGTTGGATATACGTGCTCTGCTAGGGGTTCTGTTAGGGATATCACATGAAAATAGTTGAAATTTTAAGGTGTTTCTGCCTCGATTTAGGTCAGTCTATTCTGCTGTGCTTTCGTGAGCTCTCGGTGGGGGGAGTGGGGGCTTGCTGCTTTTGGACAGGCCTGTGTCAGACACACGTCCCAGAACAATGACTAATGGCCTGGAAGCATAAAGAGGGAGACTTTCCTGAGCCCCCAGGGTGGGTGTGAGGAAAGAAGGTGAGGTATTTGGGGCTCAAGGCCTTGAAATCCAGTAAGTGAGGCGTGGCTATTTCTTCCACGTAGCTGAGCAGTGTGTAGCGTTCGGATCTGGGTTTCCATCGCTGCTTTGTTCTCTGCTAATTGGCTGCCGTGGGTCAGGCTCAGAAGCCAAGTTGTAGTTTTGTCCCAAGCAACACGGGGACAGGAGCACCATCTAGCTGAGCCCCCAGTGTGGTCCTGGGCCTCACAGCAAACTGGGAGGTGACTGAGCACCTCTTTGGGAGGAGTGTGTCCAATCTGACCAATCTTTATGGGAAGCAGCGCCTGCCCCACGAAACAAGAACCTCAGCAATAAATCCAGCCCACAACGAGAAGAGTTCAATTCCTCCGGGAGAGACCTAGAGCCTTTCAGGCTCAGAAAGTCTGTGAAAACCAGGGCAATTCTCATGGCTGTTCTCTACATGAGAGCTGAGCTGACCCCCAAGAAATGAAGGCTCCGCAAACCACAAGAATTCTCAACAAATGCCCTGAAGGGGAAACTAAAAATTAAAACAAGTCAAGTTTGTGCTTCATGAAATCTCCAAGTCAAAGAGCAAATCAGTGTTACCAAGAAAGTTATATTTAAAGATCAAGACATGTGGCTTTTAAGAGAGACGAGCAAATAACAGAAATAGCCTATCTTTTCTTAAAACATGGTAATGCCGACAGTTAAAATCTGTTCAGAATTCCCTTTAAAAAAAAAAATGGAACATGAATTATAGGTATGATTTTTTTTTTTGTTCTATAAACAGAATTTGGCAAATGAGCCTTTGCTTTTTCTCATTTTCATCTTAACTAGAATTTAAAAAACAACTTCCTGACACAAACCAGGGCTCCTTAAAATGGGATCTGTGGACCAGTGCCAGCTTACACACTGCTAATGCTCTATCACAGAGGGAACATGGGAACCGAGAGTGAGACTTTAGAAACTTCTATTGAAATCTGACGGTAATTTTTATGCTTGCTGAACCTAACAACAAAGGAGTTGATCTTGTTTTTTCAGTTTTATTTTTCTAGTTATTTTTATTTTGTTTTACAAAGATGGCCTGTATCTCAGGGGCACGGGTAGAAGCCTTCCTTTGGAGAATGAGGGTTAGCTGGCCCATTACCAGGAAGCCTCCGGTGTAGACGCCGCTATAAGTCACCCGTGTTGGAGAACAGTTCCGATTCTTGTGAGCGTGTATATACAACCATGTGGAGGGTGAGGAGGAAATACATTCAAGATACCCAGAGAGAACCCCGGGAGGAGGGATGGCCCAGGAGAGGCCGGCTGTCGGGGTTGGGGTGCACGCCTGTGTACTTACTGGCGGACTCTATGAACGTGGGGTAGGCGTCATAGGTGATGAGTGGGATCGGTAAGTCCCTGAAGTAGAGTTTCAGTGCACCCGTGATGATGTTGATGTCTTCATACACGTTCACAGAAATATCTGCTTTCTCTCCATCTTTGAAGGATGTTAAAAGAAAGGAAGTAAATATTTGGATCCACAGCACTGTTTTTATAAGTGACGTATTTCTGTGGACAGTTTTTAAAGATGAGCAATGCTCCCATTTTAAACATCAGCTTCGGTGTGCTAGGTTATAGAAATGATCGATACTCTGTGAAAAGCAAAATCTGTTTTTTGTTTTCTATTCTAAAGTTATTTTTACATGTTACTTAAGAAGTGAAAATCAGGAGAGAATGCGGGTCAACAGAAATATACATTTTTTAAATTTCATGGCTGCTTGAGAATTCCCAGGGGACTACTATGGGATTGCTGCTTTTCTTTTTAAAATAAACACAGAGACTGTGGAAAGTGGCAACAGAGGCACTCTTAACTTACAAAAGACCCCGAGCACCAAAGGTCTCTAGTCTTTGTGCTTTGTACCACCCCGGACCCCCACAATGGTGTACGGAGCTTGCCTGAGTCCTCGGGGTAAAGGAGGCGGTGAGAAGAGAGGGAAACAGACAAAACAGAACCGTAAAGTGTTGAAACAACGAGAACAGAAGGCATTGCCAAGTGGAGGGGCTTTGAGAGGCGCTGGGCTCTTGGGCTCCCAGCAAAGCTGCCTTCCTTCGGGGGGGAGGGCAGCCTCCCCCAGTCCCTGGCATTTAGAACTTTCCTTGGTTAAAACACCGGACTGTTCATCTACTGAAGATTTAATTCGCATCCACGCTGAGCTAGAGCCTAGCTGGCTTTCTCTGCTGTTTGGTTTATGGGAGATTCCTATGGGTTACACAGCAGCCTCTTCACCACACACCCATCAGAACGGCCACAGTTCAGAACCTGATGACGCCCACGGCCCGCAAGGATGTGGAGTGACAGGCACTCAGTCCCTGCTGAGGAGAGTGCAAAGGGGAACGGTCACTGTGGAGGACGGGCAGCTTCTTGCTAAGCTAAACACGCTCTTCCCACAGAATTCAGCACCGGCGCTCCTTTCTTTTCACCCAGGGGAGCGGAAAACCTGTGTCCCCCAAGACCCTGACACAGGGTTTATAGCAGTTTTACTCGCAATTGTCAAAAAACTGCAAGCAACCAAGATGTCTTTTTAATAGGTGAATGAATTGAGGTACACCCAGACAATGGAATACTTTTCAGCTATGAAAACAAATGAGCTCTCGAGCCAAGAAAGACACAGAGGAATTTTAAATACAGTAAGAAAAGAAGTCAGTCTGGAAAGGCTTTGCCCTCTGTGGGTCCAACTCTAGGACATTCTGGGAAAGGCAAAACTCTGGAAAGATCAGTGGGTGCAGGGGCTCAGGGCAGGAGGGAAGAATGAAGTGTAAGCACAGGGGTTTTTTTGAGAGTCAACGTTCTGTGTGATACCGGGGTGGTAGATACATGACCTCACACATCTGTCAAAACCCATGGAACTGTGCAATGTAAGCAGTGAACCCTAACATAAACTGACTCCAGTTAATGTATCAATATTGGTTCATACACTAACAAATATATTGTACTAATGCAAATGTTAATTGGGGAATATTAACCTCTTGGGCCAGAGCATGAGAGGAGGGATTACATGGGAAAAAATCTCTCCTCAAATTTTTGGTGAACCTAAAACTGCTCCAAAGCTTTTTTTTTTTTTTTAATTTAAATTTTATTTTTTTAAAGCAGCCTCTTTTAAAATACAAATACCTTGGCCTGTTTGACACTCACGTGAGTGTCAAATGAGATCACCAGTGTCCATCTCTCACACTTGGGATGGAATAAAATACAGGGGCAGTACAAACTGGGGTAGAGTGCCTCCTGGAAGGAAGGCAATTATTTAAAGTTGAGCCCGCCATGAATGCTTCACGGGGTGGCCGGGGGAAGCATGTAGGTGCTGGGCCTACGAATCTGCAGAAAGGGATGCGAGCACAACGAGAATGTAGAAAAATGACTGTCAATTTTTACATTTTAACCTTCCCACGCACTTCTCCCCATACTGGGCACAAGGATACTTATGTGTATTTTACTCAGAAAAAGTTTCCTTTTCTTCTGTATTTTTCTATGAAAATCCAGATTTCAAATATCCTCCGTCATCATTGGCTACAGTACCATTTTTGTTTTGGAAAGTAAAGTCATAATTTTTATAGTTCAGCTACCTGATAGTGCCGAGCAGAATTTGGAGATTGGTCTGAGAGTCTTCTACCATTCAGACAATTCTTTTCATGGTAAAATATTGGGTTCATTGCATTTCCGTCCACTCTCCTTTCACTGACTCCTCTCTAAGCCATAGCACCTTTCAGTGCCTTGACAGGTCAGCCTCAAGGCCTTTGCACAGACTCCCATGCTGTCAAGGCCTTCACACAGCCTGTTTCTTTGCCACCCAATCAAGATACAGCCAGCGCCTATCCATCCTTTCAACTTGAGCATAAACATTTCTTCTTTGGGAAAGCCTGTTCTGGTCTCCAGCATCCCATCCCCCTAGTCCTAACAGACTAGATTAACTCCCCAGTTATTAATATTTTCCTTTATGGTGTCTATTAAAATAAAAATCAATAGCCATTGTGTGATTATTATTTAATGTGAGCCCGCCACGAATGCAAGGACCATGTGTGCATAATTAACTGCTGTGTCTAAAGTAAAGAACCTGGGGCCTGGCACACAGTAGCTGTTACTTAAGTGACTGTGAATTAATGAATCATGGGAAAGTAGATTTTAAAAAGCTAGGAGCCTAAAATATTAATACTCTGGGACTCACTATGCATACAATTCTAAAACTGGTTCCTTTAAAAAACCTGCTTTTTGAAAAGAATCTATATATTCTCTTACATCTATTTTAAAGTAATATAAATGCATTCTGTGATTTGATTTCTAGATACTATATTCCAGGGCGTGGACGCAGCAACACAGACTGGCCCCTGGCTGCTTTATTACTGTCAGCCCTCGACTGGTCAGATGGGGGCTCTCCTGTGGGGTCTCCCTGGAGGGGGGCTCAAGGGTTTTTGTTTTCGGACCTTCCCACGCACCTCCCGTCCAGGGCAGAGATGCCTGCTGTTCCACTGGGGATAAAGCGTGCAGGGCTACCAAGCATGTGCTGGCCTCAGCGTAATTTGTGCTCCGTTGAGTGGCCATCTCCTAAGTGAGGGGAGATTTTCCAAATTCTGCCTTTTTACTTAGAACTGAATGAGTCCATCCAGGCATTCTATGGATGCTGCCTTTCCCCCTCAGAACTCGTTATTTCAGGGGTGTAAGCGCCCAGAAGTGATCAGCTGGGTGGTCGAGCGTGTGGCAACAGGAGCTCTTCAAGCTTTTCCCAATCTGTTGTTGGTTTCAGAGCACAGAAAGGCTGTCTTGTATTTTTAATGAGAGGAAACTGCTGCGATTTATTTGCTTTCTGGGCTCCGTGGAAACATTCAGTTTCTTTGTCAGAGTGAGTTGGAGAACCCTGGCTAGAGGCGGGGATGGACATGCTGCCTTCTAGGGGGGGAAAAGCCTCTTTAACCTTCAGCTGGGCAGATTCGGGGCTCTTCTTGATGCTAATGTGGATTTAGCTTACTGTTCCTTCCCTTCATCATCTCTGACTTTATCAGACTGTTGGGCTGGCCTAGATTTCCTCATGTCAGATGGGCAATAATACTTAAATGTATTTTTGTCTTCTCCCTGTGTGGGCAGGAAGAGCTGTGTGACGGGGTTTAGTGCGATGGGACTAGAAATATGTTCTTGCACAGGACAGAGGCTCTTTCCGTTTCACTCCCTGCATTCATCGTGCCAGGTCTTCTTCGGACCACCTTATTCCAGTTCTTAAAGACAAAACGGAGACCCTCAGGAACAAATCTAAGTGTAAATGTTAAAGACAATAGATGCCTGACTCCTCTCTGGCTGGGTCCCTCCTCCCACAGCGGGGTGGGTCCTATGCCAGAAGGTCCTCCACTCTGGCTCGCTCTGCTCCTCAGGGCTTCTTGTCCCCACACAAGGGTCAGGACCGGGGCCTCCCTCAGTCAGAGCTGGTGAGGAGGAGGCAGGGGGGCCACTCAGATGGGAAATCTGAGATCCACAATCACTTTGTCCCATCCTCTCCCATTGTCCCTGTGTTTTTTGGTAAATTAAATTGCTCTGCATATATTTCAGTGAACTTAGAACCAGCGTTGGATATTGAATATACAGGTAATGTAGCTAAGTTTTATGCTTCTTTTCCACCATGAAATGTAGCAGTTTAATACAACTGAGAAAAAGAATTTTAAAAAATCAAAAGCTAAGTCTTTTTATTTGGTATAACAAGCATCAAAGGTTAGAAAGATAACGCAAAGAATAACGTAAGGTATGGTGTGTTTTTGGCAAAGAGTGTCATTGCCCTGAGTTAATGAACAGGCTGAAGAACATACCTCTGTCAAAAGCCATCTTGACATCTTCAATGAGGTCACTAAATCCTGACACTCGGTATAGTCCTTCAGAGTTAAGACCTGTAAATAAAGCAAAGGAGCTCATCAGTTTCTTTGAGATCAGGCCTTTCCTTCAAATGTTAACTTCTTGCCATACTTCAGGCTGAGGAAGTAATGTGCCAGAAAGAATGATAAATATACATGTTTAGAAACCTCTTCAGCTTTTTCTCCTGAAATAAAACCATTTCACTGACAGTTCTTTAGCTCTGACCTGCTGCCACCTGGATACTTGTAATCTGGCTCATCACCATGTCTAATTAGATCAAAGATGTGAAGTCTTATGGGAAATAATTCATCACCCTAATTATTCCATAAATTCTCTTACGTAACAGAAGACTAAGATAAACTACATAGCAATTTTTCCCAAGTGAGAGAGAATAATTAGGTGCAGCTCTGGTTTTCGCCCTGGGATAGTTTTAAAGGAGCATTACACCTTTGCTTCTCAGACCGAAGGAAAAAAAAACAACCAAAAAATGGAACAATGAATTGGTATCTATATGTCAACTTTTAGACATTTATGAAAACATTATCCATAGACTTTTAGGCATATTTCCTATAACTGGTTAAATGTACCTAAATGGATCTTAAAAATGAAGCTGTTTAATTATTTGTTAGAGTAACTCCTCTCAGACTTTCAGATCATTTGCCATCTGAAATCATTTCCCCTAAACTTTTTTTTTTTAAGTAAATTTTTATTGTTCATATTATTACAAATGTTCCTCCCTCCCCCCTCCATTGCTCTCCTCCACCAGGTTCCCACCCTACCCTCTGCCCTTTCCCCACCCCCCATTGTCCTCATCCATAGGTGCACAGTTTATGTTCAGTCTCTTCCCACATCCCTCTCTCCCCTTTCCCCCGAGAATCGTCAGTTCACTCCCTTTCCATACCTCTGATTCTATTATATTCAACAGTTAATATTGTTCATCAGATTTTTTTTTAATTTCCTTCATTTTTAGATTCACTTGTTGATAGTTACGTATTTGTTGTTCATAATTTTTATCTTTATTTATTTTCTCTTCTGAAAGAACCCCCTCCAGCAATTCATATAATTCTGATTTGGTGTTGATGAACTCCTTTAGCTTTTTTTTTATTGGTGAAGCTCTTTATCTGGCCTTCGATTCTGAGTGATAGCTTTGCTGGGTAGATTATCTTTGGCTGTAGGTTCTTACTATTCATCACCTTGAATATTTCTTGCCATTCCTGTCTGGCCTGCATGGTTTCTGTTGAGAAATCAGCTGACAATCGTATAGGTGCTCCTTTATAGGTAACTACCTTCTTTGCTCTTGCTGCTTTTAATATTCTCTCTTTGTCTTTTGCTCTTGGAATTTTAATTATGATTTGTCTTGGTGTGGTCCTCTTTGGATTCCTTTTGTTTGGAGTTCTGTGCGCTTCCTGGACTTGTAAGTCTAATTCTTTCACCAGGTGGGGGAAGTTTTCTGTCACTATTTCTTTCAGTATGTTTTTGATATCTTGCTCTCTCTCATCTTCTGGGACCCCCATAATTTTGATGTTGGTTCGCTTGAAGTTGTCCCAGAGGTTTCTTACATTATCTTCAATTTTCTGGATTCTCTTGCCTTCTAGCTTCTGTGGAGGAGTGTTTTCTGGCCCTTTATGTTCCAAATCTATGACCTGATTCTTGCGATCTTCCATTCTGTTTTTAGGACTCTGCATAATAATTTTTATTTCAGACAATGTATTCTTTATTTCTTGTTGATCCCTTATCATTTCTTGTTGATTCCTTATTAATTCTAGTTGATCCCTTTTCATATCCTCATATGTCTTATCGACCTTTTCTAGGAAATTCTTGAAAAACCTTATAAGTGTAGATTTGAACTCTATATCCAGTTGCTTTTTGTCCTCCATTTCTTTTGTTTGTGATCTATTTTGTTGTCTCCGCATTTTCGCAGCTTCTGTGATGGGGCGGGGTTTCAGGGTGGAGCCCACAGCCTTGGCTTCCATCAGCCCCGCCCTACGCGGCTCCTGAGTCTCAGAGTCCTTCAGCACTTGCTGTAAGCACCTCTGAGAGAAAGGTGCCCTCGATTTTTACCAAACAGTCTAGGCTCTTCCCCAATGGGCCTGGAACTGGGGTTCAGTTCAGTTGGGAGTGGAGTTGGAGGTGGCGTTCAGAGCAGTTCGGAGCCTTTGTCTCCTTCCCGCCAGGGCAATCCCGCGGCACAGCCAACCGTCCCTTCTCTGTGCGCAATGTGCGCGCCTCCGGGATCTCCTTTCTCCGCTCCCCCGGGGTTCCGCCTTGCAGCTCAGCTCCCTCTGTGTGAGCCTGGGTCCCCGGGGTCTGGCCTAGAATTGGGGTTCAGAGCAGTCGGAATTGGGGCCCAGCACAGTTGGAGCTTTGATCTCTTTCCCGCTAGGGAAAGCCAGCCAGGCACTCAGCCGCCCCTCCTTTCTGGCTCCGTCCTTTCCGTGCGCCGTGTGTCTCCGTACCTTAGGCTTTTACAGCTCCTCCGCTCTTCCTTCTGGCTTTCTCCTTGCTTCTCGTTGTAGAATTTCCAGTCAGTCGACTTTCCTGTAGTTCAGGGTAATGTCCATTTTATATTTTATTTGTATTTTATTGAAATTGTTGTGTGCGGCTGCGGCTAAGTGTTTACCTGTGCAGCCATCTTGGATTCTCCTCCATTTCCCCTAAACTTAAGAAGACAATGGTGTTGTGCAACGAGGCACCCAGAATAGCGTTAGGACTCGCACTCCCGGGGAATAACAGCCGCTCTGACCCGCACGGGGAGTGCCTCACCTCTGGATTCAATTTCCCTGATGCACATGTCCACCACCATGGGCCGCTTGGTGATGTGGGCTTTCACCAGTGTTGTGAGGTCACAGCTGTACACCTTCTTGACATGTTTCAAGTCTGGCTTACAGTCATTTGGGACCATCTTGGAACACTGCTTATGAACATTCAGACCACAATCTAACAAAAGAATGAAGAAAGAAATGATTCATTATTGTTTTAGAGTTTTGAGCATTCTGAACTATTTTAGCAAAAGTCATTCCAGATTGAGTTAGGTTTAATTAGCTCCCAGCAGACCCTATTTTCTCCATCTCTTCTCTTACAAAACTTTCTGAGTTTTATGTCAGAAGACCAAACTTCAAGCTCAGGCTTTATCATTTATTTGCTATTATGATCTCAGGAGAATACCAACCCAACCCAAACCAAATGAGTAAGTGTGTAATTAAACATCTATAAAACATAATATCATGCTAATTAGCCAACTAAAATTTTATCCATTTACTTAAGTTACATAAAAATATACTTAAGTGTGGAATATAACTGCCTTTTAATATCTAAAAATAGTGAGTTATTATTTATTACTACTGCCATCTCTAGCTTACTAATGCCAAACATTATTCCAAGTGCTTTATATTATTCCATTTAAACTCACAAAACTCTATGAAATGGATACTATTATTCTCCTCATTTTATAAACCTGATAAAACTGAGCACATGGGTCTTAAGTAATTCACCTAAGGGCATGTGTTTACTCTAGGGAGCTGAGAGTCAAGCCTACGGTGATTCTAGGGCCTGTGATTATAACACTACAATATATTGACTCTACTGAAATTATTCTTCGCTTTGTAATTTTACTGGATTGTAACTTCTAAGATGCTAGAACCCAAATATTTTCCAGTTAATATTTATTTTAAGCAGAAAGAATAGAGAGGAAAATGAATATGTTATTAAATTAGACTGAAGAGTGATAAACCATAGCTGAATAATCTATATATATAAAAGTGATTATTTGACCAGTAGCTATGATGTGCACTGAATGCCAGGGGGCAGACGCTCAACGCATAAGCATGGAAACATGGAACAGACTGATGAATCTGAGGGAAGAAGGGAGTGGGGGTGGGGTGGGGAAGAGATTAACCAAAGATCTTCTATGGATACTAGAGGCTTACTTTTGTAGGCCGTGGTTCAAACATCAACCTAGGTTACAAAGCCTTTGTAATGCTTCTGCAGTGTTATTTTGCCTGCCCACTTATATGCCACCTAAATGGCAGGACTCTACCCCACATTCTGGGGAAGAGGGAGGGCCACCACCTCCTACTTACTGCAGGGTGGGCATGGAAGTTGGCGTTTGCCCACAAACCTGGCTGAGGAGTGCTATGCGGTGTGGAACTGCAGGGTGGGCACAGTGGACAGAGTTTTGATTATGTTCTCAGTCATCTCATTAAAGCAGGTGAGGGATGAAGGCAGGGCTCTGCCTACAGACTTGGGCTAAGAGGGTCCTACTTCTACTGTAGAAGTGGGTGGGGATGAAAGCCAGGGTCCACCCACAAGCTCGATCAAGGAGGGGTGCTACTTTTTTTCCTGCAACGTAGTGATGGAAGACAGGGCTCCACTCACAGACTCACAGAAAAGAAATGCACCCTTGCTATTGCAGGGCCGGGTAGACAACAGGGTTCTACGCAGACTGCTGCTGCACATCCAATGGGGAGGGTACCACTGTGGCTTTTTCATGGTGTTCACCTGGAGAACAGTAGGTGCAGCTAAAAGACTTCTGTCTCACTCAACTATGCTTTTCCCAGGGCTTTGGCTAGGATGAGTAGGCTTTCCTTGGGATTATTTTCTGTTGGTAATTATGGGTTAAGGGTTTCTCTAGTGCCCCCACTGGAATACATAGAAGGTTAAAAACCAAAACCAAACCTCAAACACCAGGAGGCAACTCACTACTGGGTTCCTTTGAATCCTGAGGTCCCTAGTCAGCCTTCCTTCTTTTCTCAACCCTCAGAGTCTTCTGATAGTTGCTGTGTATATCTTGTTCAGGGGATTTTGTTATTATAAGGAACAAAATGAAACATTTATTTGTCTTGTCCAAAAATGGAAAAACTCTTCCTTAGTATTTTCAAGGTATAAAAGTCAGCAAAGCTTCCTAATCTAATAATTATATTGATGTGCCTCATCTGTTGAAGTATGTACACAGAAGCCAGAGATCCAGTAGGAAAGGGCTGAATGTAACAACCTAACCCAAAGTCATTTAAGAAAGACAATAAAAGTCACTCAGCCAGAAAGCCATAGAACTGAGATTTCAGCGCTGGCTTCCTGATTCCCAGCCTGTAGCATTAATGGTCTGATATTTTCCCCTTTGAATGTTTGAAGTTATCTCCCATTTTAAACATCAGAATCCTAAGATTTCTGTCTGGACATGCTGCCCTTTTCACAGGGCTTTGGTTAGGCAGAGAAAGCTTTTCTTGGGATTAGTCTTTGTCGGTGCTTGTTGGCATTTATGGGTTGTGGGCTTTTCTAGTGCCCACATAATTGTTCTCTAATGGCCCAATAATTTGTGCCTGGGTGAAAACTGGACAAACTGATGACAAAGCTTAGACTTAGAGGACAGGAAAGTTGGAAAGTTTTTTTTCTCTAAATATGTTTTTTGATTCAGAGATGAAGGGAGAGATAGAAAAATCAATGATGAGAGAGAATCATTGATTGGCTGCCTCCACTAGGGACCGAGCCTGCAACCAGGCATGTGCCCTTGACTGGAATTGAACCCGGGACCCTTCAGTTCGCAGCCTGATGCTTTACCCACTGAGCCAAACCACGTAGGGTGAGGAAAATGTTTTTAAACTGATATTCTTTCTTCCACTTGAGTAAAATTAAACCATGGAACAATATATTGTGCTAAATTTTATAAATAAATGTCAAAGGCCACATTTTTAGCAGGACTGGATAAGAAGTCCTTCAGAAGATGAAAAGATAGGGTAAAGTCATTAAAGTAAAGCATCTTTATACCCTGAAGTTCACAGTGCCATATACTAGCTATGAGCTTGCTCTGAAAATTGCTGCTTCAAGGACCAGCAGTATATCAACTTTCAGTTTGCCATTAAGACTTTATTTGGTTTTCATACTTATTTATTAAAGTCATATAACTCTTATATAGTTCTATTTCTCCCAGGGAAGATCTACACTATAAATGAAAAAAAAAAGTCCATAAAAGATCATTTCATTTGCCACATCTCTTGGTTTGGTGGGTTATTTTTATATTACAATTAAACCACATCTCCCCTCCCAATTACTCAAGTTAATAAGCATAGAATAAATATATGAAAGGAAGAATAAAAAACTCAAATCGCATTTTATTCTGTCCTTTATTAATAAACTAATGTTATTACTTAAGACTGCTAACTTTAGGCTACTCAAATTTTCTTGGGTAATGTATTCTTTAGAAAGCACAGAAATAGACTTTTTGAAATAAATAGCTGCTATTATTTATATTCTATTGATAGCATTAAAGGGTAATGTTAATGTGTTTTGAAAGTAAAGATACCGGTAATTATTCCTTCTTTTACATGACTGTTCCTATTTTAAATAACTGCAAGTAAAAGCTCTATTTTTAAACATTTCCTAGTTGCCATCATCCATCCACCCTGCATGTAGGAGAAGTGGGGGTAACCTATTTCTAATTTACATTAGAAATCCCATAAGCAAAATTAAGGCAAATACCTTGTTCTTCGGGATATTTGTGAAAATACTGCCTTTGATCAAAAGAGGCTACATAAAAGTTTTAAGCAAGTCCCACAAGTTTCTTGCTGGCTTACAAGGACAAATATAATTTTTTTAGGTATAGTCAATCAGAATAGTAATTAAAATAAACAACATTACTTCCACTTCCTCTCTTCAGCCTAGAAGTTAAATGCTTGCATATTTGAAGCAATAAATACATTTAATTATTAGGAAAACAACTGCTGCTATTTCCCTTGGGGGCTGGCAGTAATGATAACACACTGGAAGAATGAAGTCATTTTAATAAGTAACCAATACTAAGTTGATATGTCTGAGAACAAAGTTATCTGGCTAATTTCTTATAATATTCTGGTAAGGCTAAAATGAAAGCAATTTAGGAATGCTGGTGGAAGTTTTTTGGTGGCAGGAATGTTTGGCTATCTCAATGGTAATATAATAACTAGATGCCAGGTGCACAAAATTTGTGAACAGGTAGGGTCCCTAGGCCTGGCTGGTGATCAGGGCTGATTTGCAGGGCGATTGGGGGTGGGGGTACTTGCTGGCACCCAACTTAACTGGCCTGGGGCCTGCCAGCTGGGGGCCGTTCCTGTGTTGAGCATCTGCCCCCTGGTGGTCAGTGTGCAACATAGAGACCGGTTGTTCTGCCGTTCGGTCGATTTGCATATTAGGCTTTTATTATATTGGATAATAGATCTATAAGCTTACATTTCATAAAGAAGGGGGGGAGTGCTTTGGGAAACTATTCTATCTGAGCAATGACAAGCCTTTGAACTTTACTTTAAAAGTTGGTCTACTTCAATCATAAGAATTTTAGGAGGAGGAGCACCACTGCCAGGCTGTAGTTGATACTCTCCGGTAACATCATTTTGCTCACTGAAAAGAAGGGAAGGGAGATGCTGGTTCCTACTATGGTACCTTGTACTAAGGGGTTTGGAAAAGATCATGACTGGTGTTCTCATGATTATCCCTGCTGCTCCCTCACTTGTCCTCATCAGCTGTGCAGTGCAGTGCGTAGCAGCAAGCCTCCTATTGGTTGGATTCAGTCTGATTCCTACAGCAACTTTTCCAGTCTGTTGATTGCACTACCACTCAACATTGTACATGATTTTTTAAAATGTATTTTATTGATTTTTTTACAGAGAGAAAGAGACAAGGATAAGAGTTAGAAACATCGATAAGAGAGAATCATTAATCAGCTCGCACATCCCTTACTGGGGATGTGCCCACAACCAAGGTACATGTCCTTGACCGGAATAGAACCTGGGACCCTTCAGTCCGCAGGCTGACGCTCTATCCATTGAGCCAAACCGGTTTTGGCATATATGATGCTTTAAAAAAAAAAAAAAAAGAGGGGCCGGGTGGGATACAAAACCACTGCTTTTGGCCAACACTCCTTAAAAAAAGTCCTTGCCTGGCCAGCGTGGCTCAGTGGTTTTATCAACCTACGAACCAGGAAGTCATGGTTTGAGTTCCAGTCAGGTTACATGCCCGGGTTGCAGGCACGATCTCCAGTGTGGTTGTGCAGGAGGCTTCCAATCAATGATTCTCTCTCATCATTGATGTTTTTCTCTCTCTCTGAAATCAATAAAAACATATTTTAAAAACAATTCCTGACAAGTCTGCCTTGGTGGAGTTTGAAAAAAGAAACTGGAACGAAGCAGGTTGTCTTAGAAGCAGGTTGTCTTAGAGATCAAAAGCAATAAATCTCTTTTCCGACAGGCAGTAAGTTGCCTTTTTTTTTTTTTTTTTGAAGTGATATCTTTAATGTTCAGTAGCTAGTGCATTAGTTTTCTACTGCTGCTGTAACAAATTATCACAAACTTCGTGGATCAACATGAGTTTCTCATCTTACAGTTCTGGAGGTTACAAGTACAAAATCAGCTTCACTGGGCTGGAAGCAAGGTATTGGCGGGCCTGTGCTCCTTCTGGAAGCTCTTGGGGAGAATCTGTTTCTTTCCTTTGCCTTTTCCAGCTTCTTGAGGCCTGCATTCTTTGGCTCCGGCCCCCTTCTTCCAGCTAACCCAGAGGCATGGCTCCTCTCTCTCTGATCTCTGCTTCTGTCCTTACATTTTCTCTCTGTCTCTGCCTGTCTGCCTCCCTCTTATAACTGGGCCCACCCGACAATCCTGACACTCTACCATCTCAAAATCCTTAACTTCATCAGAGCCCTTTTTGCCACAAAAGGTAACATATTCACAGGTTCTGAGGATTAGGAAGTAGAAATCTTTGGGGAGCCACTGTTCAGCCTACCAGTTACGTACTTCCCTCTGGCTCTTTAAATTCTTAATTCTGTGCATTCTGTTTCAAATAAAGTGATGGCTCCAAGTCAGGATGAGCCACTTTATACCTAAGAACCCCACTGTCAATCCAAATGTAATTCGTTGTCATGGAAATCAGAACTAATTGAAATCCCAACCATCCCCATTTTAAAAAATGAGCTGACTTGTTCTTATATTACACATCAGCATGGTCCAAATCACACAGATAATGCTTTGAAACACAAAATGTAACACATCCTCAAGGCTTTCCTTTCAATTCCTGCCTCTTTACTCGTAACAAGAGGTGAGGGCTATTAATGCAGGTGGCTGTGGGAGAGAGTGACTCCTTTTCTTTCTCCTTTTCTTCATATTATTACTATCATAAGTGTTCCAAACATTTCTTTCAAACATGATTTGGGAACATAGCCTATTGCTAAAGATTATTCATTATGTGTTGTACCTATTCTAACAGCTGACCCAGAATTCTCATGCCGTGGCCTTCACCCCTTCAAACCGTAAAGGATACATAAGCCAGTAAAAGGGCTTTTGAAATTAATGACAGTCATAGGGTGTTTAGGAAACTGTTGCAAGTCTCAGCTGGTCAAGGCTGTGCCATAAAGGCAATCCAGGCTTACTGAGACCAGTGTTCCTTGAACAGGTGGAAAGAATACTCCATTTGCCTTTGAAAACCCACAGCAATGCCGATGTTCTTAACACCACCACTTCATCAACACTTTATGTTCCACTGTGTTCCTCTCCAGTTCAAAGGCTCAAAAACAGCCTTCCCAATGGTATTTCCTCACCAATGGCCGGGATGACAATTGTTTTTATTTACTCTCTGGGCAGAGACCTGCATTGGGGCTGTCACCCTCCCACACGAGGGAGGAGTTAGACTGGACAGAGCTGAGCCTCTCCTTAGTGGACACCGCTGCACAGGTCAAAGTCAGCCTGTGGGCCGTCTTCTCGCTCCTAGTGGCGGGTCCTGTAGGTATCTGGCTAGTGATGGATGCCTGGACTTTAGTGATGATAACTAAAAGGAGGGTGATTTGGGACATTCACAGGCAATGCATATTGCACTTGTTATTCAACAAAAAATGCAATTTAGAAATAAGGAAAATCATACCCTAGAAGTTTCTGCACACAACATAAAAGATTCCATTAAAAATCAGGCCACAAAAGAAATGTAGGTTTTTACAGTGACAGACTTGACAGGATTATTATAGCTATAATTTTATACTATTTTACGCTTAGTATACATTTTTAATGTTAATCTTCACGCTAAATGCCATGTAAGAAGGCAGTTTTCAGTTTTATAATTTAAAGAGCAGAAAGAAACTTATATGACCAAACACTATGCATTTAAAGTTTAAGTGGTCATCTTTAAGCTTATGCCAGAATTTAGAGGAGTTTGAATAAATGACCAATACTCTGCATAGTTGTTATATACAAATGAATTTCACATGGTGTGAAAAACCACTTATTTCATAAAGCGTGGTTATTTCTTTATGTGCAGATCTTAAAAGTTTCTAAATTTAAATCTAAAAATATTGTGGTTATGCTTTATAAAAAGATTTGGTATATTCAAAAATTTAAAATATCACAAGATACTAGTGACTAAGTGCTTTTTCAGAATTTGGTAACCCTCTTCGAAGATAAATTCAGATTTCTACAGCTTCAACTCGATTTTTCAAAAAATTAGTAAGGACAATCCAGCTTAACAACTTATCTTTAAAATTCAGTTTCCAAGGCAACAATCATAGGCCCCTGTATACTGTTTTTAAAAAAATCATTTTTATAAATTTAGTTCCTGCAACATCAAAGACAGCAGTTAAATATAACTGCCTTACTTGTATCTCCTTTTATCAGACTTTTTGAACAAGCTGACTTCTGTCTTTTTAAAGGACTAATACCAGGTCCCTGGTCTGTTGTTCATTAAGTACAAAGTTAAGGGCAGATAAAATATCTATTTCCAAATGGGCTGCCTGGAAATCCAGACGACTGCCTGTGTGTTAAGGGCAAACCAGGGCCCAGCCCATTGTGTGTAACAGCCAGTCTCCTCACCGCCTTCCTCCTGACTCCTCACTCAGTACGGGAGAGGGAAGAGCTCTTACCTGCACATTTCACTCCCTGAGCAATGAGACCCCACATGAAGTTGGCACAGTACTCACACCAGTGTGGCCCTCTGAACGTGTGGACCTGAAAGAGAACAGCAACAAAGTGGCCAGAGGGAAATGCGAGTGAGGAGGCGCTTCCTGCAAAGAGCTGATGCACACACGAGTCCAGGTTAGTACTAAAGGGGCATGATATGGTCACATCCCGCAAAGCCTTAGATGAGTCAAACTGACAAGAAGATAAAATTTCTTTCCTCTTAGTCTTATACGTGGTGGCAAATCACACCAATATTCTGCAATTTACTTTTGAAAGTAATTTCTGCATTGGAGTTTTTCAACTGTTCCCTTCACAGTGAGCAGCCCGCTTTACGTGTTATGCTGGCATTCTCTGAGCACTGTGGCATGCAGGGGGGGGGGGGAGGAGCAATGAACAGCACGTCTGAGTCCTGAGGAGGGTTTTGACGGGTGATCCACCTTCTGTCCCCTATGCCCACAGTGAGGGCCACAGATGCGGAAGGTGACACTTAGTGACTGGTCATGACTGAATCATCATGAAGTGCCAATTTCTGTTCAAAACTATTTGATACTTAACTATGTTAGCAAAGAGACTGGATGTATTTTAGGAACTACAGTCAGTCAGGAACCCTGTTTTAGCACAGGAATTACTCAGTAACCATTCTAGCTCATAAAGGTTATACTACATTTGAGTTCTTTATCCCTAAGGAAGGAACCCAAAGGAGAAAGGATTCCAGGGCTAAGACACCTATAGGTTCTTACTACCAGTTAATAATGCAGATTTTGTAAATTAAAGAAAACATAATTTCAAGAGAAACATCAAAAGTGCTTTATTCAAAGTAATGTCCATCTCTAGCTACACATTTCCCCATCTTTCAGGTAATTTGTGGATACCATCCCAATAGAACTTTTCTTGTTTAGAGGCAAACCATTTAGAAACCCAATTTTCCACTTCTTCATTTGTTTTGAAGTGCTGCTTAAAAAGTACATGTGCCATCAATCAGAACAAGTGGTAATCTGAAGGAGCAAGGTCTGGTAAATTCAGCAGGTGGGTTAATACTTTCCAGGCAAAATCTTTTAAAGTGCCTTTAACTGGTTTTGAAGTGTGTGATGGTGCATCATCATGAAGCAAAATTACTTTGCTGTGTCTTCTGGCCCATTCTGGTCATTTCACAATTAAAGCGTGGTTCAAATTGATTATTTGTTTTCCCCTCCATTTAAGCAATCCTATCCTAGCTACCGACAATAAAATCAGCATTAATGGTTTCACCTGGTTTTAGAAGCCCACAATACACCTTCCTGATCCCATTGTCTTCTTTCAGAAGCGATTTGGCCTTGCAGTCGATGTTGATGGTTGACCAGGATCAACCCATGATTTTTTTTTTTTTTTCATTTTATTTCCCCCCCTCCACCAGGTTCCCACTCCACCCTCCGCCCCCTCCCCATCCCCCATTGTCCTCATCCATAGGTGCAATTTATGTTCACTCTCTTCTTCCCTCCCTTTCCCCAATAGTAAATCCCTTTTCAGATAGTAAATCAGTTACTTAGCATTTTCTCAAATCAATAATACTTCCACATGCTCAATGATACACTTCACACAAAAGACATTTCCCAATAGGTCCACCAGCTTCATCCAGGCCCCACCCAAGGCACTCACAGATCAACACCCCAGCCCTATACTAACTCAACACATCCAGATCTAAGCCTTCATCACTTGATTCAGCAGACCCTCAAGTTCCCTCGAAAGTTTCCAGCCATGTCTGAGAGGCAGCTGTGGGGCAGGGGCAGGCGAGGAGCGAGCTGTTCCGGGCCTGGCTGCTCAGAGCCTGGCCTCTGTTGCTCTGGTTCGTTCCACAACCAGCTGCTCCGGGTCTGGTCACTGCCGCTCCCGACCTAGTTGCTCTGGACTTGGCTGCTGCTCCCCCGGGCCTGGCCGCTCCCAGCCTGGCAGCCGCTGCTCCGGGCCTGGCCGCACCCGACCCAGCTGTTCCGGGCCTGGCCGCTCCCAGCCTGGCAGCCGCTGCTCCGGGCCTGGCCGCACCCGACCCGCCTGCTCCCCCGGGCCTGGCCGCTCCCAGCCTGGCAGCCGCTGCTCCGGGCCTGGCCGCACCCGACCCGCCTGCTCCCCCGGGCCTGGTCAACCCATGATTTTGTGCATTTGGGATTCTCAAAATAAATCCACATTTCATCACCAGTCACAATTCAATACCAAAAAGACTTTCTTTCATGCTGTTGAAGCAACATTTTACTGATGACTTTCTAATTTCCATTTGTCTTTCGTTCAGTTGATATGGCACCCATTTTCCTCCCTTTAAAATCTTTCCCATTGCTTATAAATGATCAGAAATTGTTTGCTGAGCAATGTTTAATCTTTCTGCAAGTTGGTTTTGCGTTTGACACGCATCTTTATTCAATAATGCTTGTAATTGTTGGTCTTCAAACTTTTTTAGTTGACCTGGATTTCTTTGTCTTTCACATTGAAATCATCACTTTTAAAACATTTAAACCAGTGTTCACAAGTGTCTTGAGATGGAGCATGTTCACCATAAGCTTCCCGAAGTAGATAACTTTTTCTTCAAAATAATGAATTAAAACTTCCCACAAATGCTCTTTTCTTGCCACAAAATTCGACATATTTAAGCGTAAAAATATCTGATGTTAACACCTTCAGCAAATTTGAATATGAAGTTTTGAACTTGCTGTCTATACAACAAATAGCATACATATCAAATCACATATATATCAACATATGTGTAGCTTCATCTATTGAAAAAAAATCCGCATTACTAACTGGTACACCTACTATGTACAGGAAAGAGAAGGCATTCTACTTTAACTCAGGTGTTAAAGTATTGGTCAAATAGGAAAGTAATGAATACTTTCAAACCCCAAACAGAGAATAGAAAAAAATGAATATTATTAGTAACACAATAAGATTTCTGAGCAAATATTGGCTGAAAATGCACTCAAGAAATAAGTTTTGTGTGTGTGTGTGTGTGTGTGTGGTGTGTAAAGGGAGAGGAAACAAGGAAGCCATTGAGCTGTATCAAATTACATTTACTTGAGATAATTTCATATATATATTTCATATATATATATATAATTTCTTCCTGCAGAAAAATAGTAATAAAGAGTGTGAATATCAGAGTGTGACTATTTGATTCCAACATAAATAACTGCTGTAACAGCTATTGCTAATAATGAAATTCACAGCTAAAATGGTCATTTTTACTGCTGTTCTATTAATATGTATGTATCAAATAGGTCTTAGAAACCAAGGCAACGCTTTAAGATATATATATATATAAATATATATTTCTTCAAACTTAAGATGCTACTGAACATAAGACTTACAGTAAATGTAAATGGGGCAAAATTTGGTTTACAGTTTGTATGGAAAATAATACAATAATTAATAAATAATAATACAAGAATAAATTTTTATATACTCACAACTGTAACGTCTACTTTTGTCCTACCCTGTTTATTCCATTTAGAAAAACTGTGTCAAAATTATGACAAGTCACTGATTATAAGACAAAAATGCCAATTCCAAGGTGTTAAAATGAAACAAAAGTACATATTAGAATCAATGAAATATGGTTTATCAGATTTCAAAATACTATTCCTGGAAAATTATCCATATACAGTGCAATGGGTAACCTGGGGTTCATTCTAAGCAGTTATGTGCTCTTAACTCTGGTTATTGCCAAGTGAGCTTGAGTACTAAGCATCGTGTTGATTTTGGAAAGAAGGCACAATCCCTTTTATGTCTTTGACGGGAAAGCATCAGGAATGCAGACACAGTTGCTTCTGGACTGTTAATGATGCTCAGAGTCTGCAAATTGAAAGTATTTCCTGGAGTTCCTGAAGCAGAGTCCAAGATCAACATTCAGATAGACTGGGATGTCCTTGTGTTGGTCCATGTTCCTCTGAGTGAATGAAACTGGATAAACTATGCAATCCTGCTTCACTCTGAAGAGAATGAGTGACATAGATAGCTCTGACTCATAAAAAAGGTTAGAGACTATTATATAAATAGCTATAGAACTGTGAGGTTATTTTTAGGGAAAGTCTTTGGGATGCAAACTGGCTTCTCAGTTGCCAGATCTCAGGGTAGCCCAGTCTCACCTAACTTGTAAGGTTAAGAAGAAGGGACTGGAAGTTCCACTTCTGAACCTGCCCGTTAACTCATGATTAAGGGGAACACAATGCAGAGTAGATCTCGTGAACTTACTTCATAAAGGGCTCTTGCAAATAGCACTGAGATGCTATGATAAAACTAATTCTCTTCCTCACCTTCAAAGAAGAAGTAGTGAATGTGGCATTTTGCAGATCTTGGCACATTTTTTCGTATTACACTCTCTGAAGGGTGTAACTGTCCAAGCAGGCCCAATATCCTCTAATTAAATGATCATTCAGTTATCTCAGAAAGCAATCTTTAGGAAATTATTTACACACTGCCTTCTTGGACAGCTTTTTATAAAGGCATCCTGAGCAATTTGGGGATGATTTTATTGTTTTTAATTTTTTTAGAAAGTTGCTTTCATAGCTCTCCAAGAAACTGTTCTGCCAATTAGCACCAAAATACCAGAAGCTTATGAAACTTCTATTTGTACAACAGGGGTTACCTGAATTCCCTTTTGAATTTTTATATCTAAAATTCATTCATATTTCTTAAATTTTGTTACCTCTATGGCTCCATAACTAGATGGCATTAGCAAAAAACTGAATATTGCAGCCTTTTTTTTCCTATTTCTCTAGAGGTCATCCAAAGAGAGACTTCATTATTTTTATTATTCATGAATACTTAAAGTGATATTGGCTCAAGGAATGTGTTGTAGGTTTTTCCCTTTAAATACGCTGCAAAATGCTCTACTGACAGTGCCTACCAAGTGTGAAGGAAGCGGGGGAGGGACGCTCCTCAGGCTTGAAGCAACCCACGGGCTTGAGTAGGGTCAGCCAGGCGACTCATGGGGTGTCCCTGTTGGCACACAGGAAAAGCTGGGAGATCAAAGGCACAAAGCATGAGCGAAGCAATATGTTTAGAAAATTCCAAGGAAGGGTGGG